GTTTTGTGTGGTTAACTCTTCTTCCAGCATGGTGTTTTTGGAATCTTGGGTGAGCCTGTCGATATTTATGTCACCGATGAGTATGAGGTTTTTCTTGTGTACTTCTTGTAGTTCTAGCGTGTCTGATAGGAGATCAAGAGCATTTCTTCCATTTTCGATTGGTGGTCTATAGATTCCCAGAATGTAGATATCCTTTTTATTTGTTGTCTGCATGCGAATCATTGCTGCTTCGAAAATTAACTCCTGGCATGTGTTTGATATGTTAATAGCTGATACTGTATCAGCAAGGGTTTCCTTGGAATATATTGCTACACCTCCAAGTTTATGTTCTTCCCTACTATAGTGGGTAATTAAAGAGTAGTCGGTAATTTTGGTAGCATCTAGTTCTGTTTTTTTTTCAGTCCGTGTTCAGTCAAGACTAGAATGCTTGGTTTTTTGTCAATGTCATTGAGAATATGGTGTAGTCTGTCCGTCTTTGTAGCAAGTCCTTTAATATTTTGGTGCATTATTGCTACACAAGAATTATTTGGAGATTTGCTGATTTTTCTTTTGCTTTTTTCTTGCTGTTTGTTTCTAAAAAGAGGTTATAGTGTGGGGCACTGTAGAGTGATTGGATTGTTGACTTGAGTTGGGTTCTTGCAGCTGTTCGTGTTTCTGTTCTCCTTGGTAAGAGAGGCAGTCCATCTCGGTCATGTTTAGTTGCTTGGTGTGTGACAGAGTATTCTTTTTATATAGGTCTTCTCTGCAGACTATATGCTGCATAGTATGCAGCAGAAAGAATATTTTCACTTGTTGCCATGTGGAGCTCAGTTGGCAACCAAATCTATATATTTAATACACAGTTGTAACACTGTTTTCTCAGTAATTACTGGACCGATCTACAAGGTTTATGTCTCAAATTAAAGGGGATAGTGTGTAGATTTGCCGAACTTCCTTAGAATTTACGTTTTTTCTAAGGGCTACGACCTACAGCCCTTTAAAGGTCGAGTCAATACAATTCTTATCGAAGAATATAATACACAGTTTATAAATTATTCGTCAGCTGTTTAATGTTTGTCAGACATTTGTTATTATTTTTATAACCTCACTTTCAGTATGCAATTATTAAACTTGGAGTTTATGTTTATAAACACACGATTTTCATCAAGGAAAGTGTATTTGTTAACTTATTTTTGAAATGTTTTAGTTTTCCTGCAAAGTGATCTGAAGGAAAGTGGTAATTGAGTTTAAGTTTGAGTATGGAATGTGAAATAATACCCATAGTAGGGAAAAAACTTATTGTTTTGATCAATATAATTTATTCTCTATAGCCACCAGAACAATCATAGGGAAATCCGCTTGCAAGTTGTACAGATAATTGCTAATGATTGGTAAACATACAAACATTTTAAAATCGTAAGTGATTAATCTTACTCAAGATCAGTGTTCGACGTTTATCAGTGAACTATACCCTAACTATATTTTTTCGAGTAGGCCTACACAGGGAAGTTGCTTGAGAAACTGTGACTTACGAGTTCGGTTCTGGCGAAGAAGTATCTGACTTGATGTTTAATGGCAATGTTGACTCGGGTCATTATAGCGCTATAAAACTTTATCATTCACCCCAGGATGTGAAAAGTACAAAAAAAAAGAAAAGGTAAAAAACATGTAGAGAACCAACAAACTAAAAAGGTAAAGAGCAGTGGTGTTAAATGTGCTCTGGAAGTCACTTCTAAAAAATACCAATTTTTTGAATTGGGGTCGTTGGATTGGATTTGTCAGTACCGCAAAGCTATGAATTTTGAGTCAGAACAGACTAACTGGGACACAAATATTTTTTCCTTATGTTGTCACAAGGGGGAGGGTAAAATGAACTCCTTATCAACATTTTGAGTTTATGGAAAATCTTATCAACAGCGACTATAAAAAACGTATTAAGGGTCAAAAGAGACAAAAAACTATTTGAGTAAAATATAATACAAATCTGCATTTGTAATGGCCAGTTCTAAGTCTCACTTGAATCAACATCTTTCTGGTAGTGGTAGTCTACATAGTTTTAAAATCCACGACTCCTTTTCCATCAAATTGGACCGTTACCCTCTAACATTGATCAAAGTATGCAGAACTTTATATATACGACGTAAACACAGCTTTTACTCACAGTATGGGTCAAAGATTCGTGAAATGCGACCAACTGCTGATGCGTGATTTACATGTAGGCTAAGTGACTATCTTTATTCCATACAACAAATTTAATGAAAAAAAAAAACGACGAATATAGGAATATACTTGAGAAAATTATCTAAATAGCATAAATGGGTGCTTATTAGGTTATCAGCATTGCCCAGTTCGTATACTATTTATTTTTCAAATGAAACTCGAATTAAAATAAAACATTCATTTGGTTAAAATAATATATCGGTTTGATATTGATTAACATAAAATAGTTTATACATGCAAACTATCAGTTCTATTTCATGTAGGCCTAAAAAATTAAACAACTTCTAAATAAAATACAAAGAGAAACATTATTTGTTAATTATTATTTCTTTTATTGCTGACAATATTCCCGTGGCGGAGCACGGGCGGTTAACTAGTTGTATTTAACATAGCATAGGCTATTATGTTAATAGTCCGGAAAATAGGTTTTTACCGCACAAGTATAATAGTTAGGATTACCAAACAAGTCCGGTAAACACATTTTGGACGAGTGAAATGATTTTTTTGCGATAAGCTTACTTGACAGTAAAAACTTGTTAAATTCTGTTAGATGTTGCCACGGAGTTAAGGACTACTCATAACTTCTCTGAGAGGTTATGTTTTCTGTTTGTAATGTCTAACTGCCATTAAAATACCTAACTACTAAACTATCAACATTTTTTTGTAATTTGTCCTATGTTTGCTGTGTAAAAATTATAATTTTGACTTTGGAAAATTTGATTACCGGTAACAAGACTAATTTGTAAATGTGCCAGTAACCATTTCATCATGAGTTTAAAGTTGTTCAATGCATTACATTCTGAATCAAGAACGTTGCCTGAATCTTTTTTTAAAGATAGGCTATATAAATGGTAGAACATCCTGTTTATGAGATTAAAGAGTATTTTGGTATAAAAGTTGCTAAGTTTTGTTATTATAATTATTTTATCTAGTGTATTTCACCTAGATAGGCTAATCTACCAGGCAAAAAATCAACTGAGATTTGTGACGCCCCATCAGTAAGTAAGTAATTGTATTTCACCTAGCATATAGCCTACTTTTTATTGTTGAGTTTTTACCTTTTGATCTGTGATATTAGCTTATTGACTTGGTTACTGTGTAACCCTATGCTACCTAATATGTTTTATATTGACCTTGTCTATTGCATGATTATTATGCCTAATGACAATAAAGCATTTTATTTCTAAGTTTAGTTACATGTAATCCGAACAAGTGCCTATTTTTATTTCACACAGTAAGTTTAGGTTAAGAATGTTTATGCTATTATAGATAAATATTTGCAAAAATTAAGTTTACTTAAGCTGACTTTATATGCAAAATGTGTAACGTTGATAGTTAACTCAAATTAGGCTAAATAAAATCAGCTTGTGTCTAGAAAAGTTAATTACCTTACTGCTAGACGACGAGGGGGAATTATCATGATTTTTCCGCCAATCACGCTAGATGATGATAATATCTACACAGCCGCGAGGGATGTTCATGATTTCGCCACAATCGCGGGAGTCAATGTTGCTGTCTAGACAGCCACGGGAGATGTTCATAATTTTTCCACAATCGCTGACAATGACGGCGACATTTCCGAGACCGCGGGAGACAGCGACAAAGTTTCTGTTACCGTGGGAGTCAATGATGAATGTCTTCACGAAGATGTTCATGATTAAGTCTTGATCCCAGATGAGGACGATCACGTTTACGTGACCGCGAAGGACGATAATGATGTCCACATGGCTGTTGTAGATGTTCACAATTTTGCCGCGATCGCGGACGACGATGATGATGTTTCTGTTACCGCAGGAGTCAATGATGTCTACACGGCCATGGAAGATGTTCATGGTTTGCCACGATCGTGGACGACGACAATGACGTTTCCGTGACCACGTCAGTCAATGATGATGTCTACACGGTCACAGAAGATTTTCATGATCCAAAAAAACCAAATTGGCTAGTTTATTGCTGCATTTTTTTCTTTACTTGAAAACCCTAATAAAAAGTGGTTGGTGTAGTAAAACCAAATTATTTAGAACATTTTGTTAAGCTATCAAAATTGCTATCGTTATCAAGAATTGAGAATCGATACATTTTGGTGGACAAAACTAATTCTTGAAAAATCTGGAATTAGTATTGAAAAGTCTGGAATTAGTCTTGAGTTTAAAAATGGAAATAAATTAGACACCCTGGGAGACAAATAATCATTATAGCTGTTACCGATTTTGGCGACGTAGTTCTTGCCTCTGACGCTTGGGTCGATTTAGTCGGTTGGTAGTGCAGTGGGCCTCCGAGGACCTTTGAATCATTTAGTAATAAGAAATTAATTATAAAACATCAAAACCAAGTTCGAACAAAGAAATTTCATTAACAAAAATGACATTTTACAACCTACAATGAACGCAATATTAAAAAACAACCACACTGCCTTACCGACATGCCCAAGGTGCAGTAGTTCGGGCCGCTGAGACTACTCTGCAATAGCACTTATCAGGTAACGGTAGCCTCCATTAAGTTTCTACTCTACGTCAGCAACAAAAAAAGGGAGAAAATAGAATTTTAGACATTTGCGTACTCTGTTACTGGGTCACACAACTACGTTCTTTTTTAATAAAGAAAATGTCTGACAGTTGGTCCATATACATGGGATGTCTACTTCAGTATCCAATAGTCAATGGTGGTATGTAATGAAAGATAAGATGGTTAAGCAGGTGGAAAACCGTTGTTTTCTAGGAGTACATACATGTGTGGAAACTGGAAAGTCCAAAAACAGATTAGAGTGGCAAGAAAGTTGTACATGATTGTATCTTTTTCAGATTCTCTTGGATGTGAAACAGTTATTCATGGGTTTGCCTTCCTTAGTTGATGTCACCATTGGGGATGACAACAAATTCACTGTGTGCGGGGATATTCATGGACAGTTCTACGATCTCATGAACATTTTTGAGTTGAATGGACTTCCATCACCAACAAATCCTTATGTATCCTTTGTACATTTTCATGAGTATTATCACAGCCACCTCTAATACAAGGCCGTGACGTTCGAACTGGCAACGCCGCATTTACCCGCTGCCTGCGTCCGGCACTCGTGCTAGGCTATAAACATCAATGAGAGTATTGCTGCTCTGTATCAATGAATGAAAGTATTTAAATTACATATTTTATTTGATTTAGGGTATGGTAAAATAGACAAATTAGAATCAAGGTTTTTATTTTATGAAAAATTGCAACATACCACAATATGTCTAAAACTAAAAATATACAAACGAAATGTTTTTGGTCGCATATATCGTATTGTAAGTACGATGAATGTGGAAATAGATGTACTTTACATATTTCCTTTGTTAATTTGATAATCTATACTATATTATATAACAATCTCATGGTGTCTGTATGTGTGTTATTCAACATAGTAAAAACTACTAGACAGACTGGACTTAAATTTTACAAAATATAGCTACTATACCAAGAATGGTAATACAGAAGGACTAACTTATTGCCACTTCAATATTTGTAGAGACTTTGGGATTTGTAGAAACTAACATCTAACAATTTGTTCAGATAAAATTAATTTTCAATTTTCAATAGAAATATTATTTTTTAGTCTACCTGAGGAATCCATAAGTTAGCGACAACAAAATTTAAAGTTTTCATTTTGAAGGCATACTGACTAAATAATTTATTTTCTTTGAATAATTATTACCAAGCAAACGTATTTCATTTTGTAAACGATTTCAGAGGATAGGCCTCCATATGGCTTTCTTCAATATTAATAGAATTGTTTTATCACATCAACATTCAGACTGGAGTCGGAGACTATGATGCTTTTATTGTTAGATGGTGTAGTACATATTTTATACTAGTAGGCCTACTTAACAGAAACGCCGGTTTATTTCTTCAAAGTGCTAGTTATTTAAGTTATTTTATTCACTTAACAACAGCTTTGATCAATAAAATAGACAAATAAATAAGGAAATAGTACGGCAATATTATACCTACAACTCGCTTCTCGCGTCTATATTTACACGAATCATTGTCTTATTCTTACATTTTTTTACAAATCAAAGTTCATATTCGTGAACATTTTTTATACAAAAACGAGAATTGTTTAAAGATGTCTAATTTGACCGAAGAATAGCAGGAAGCCATTGTTTCTTACGCGGCGCATCACTTAGAATCTTAGAATACTGTATGTATTATTCATTTTAGCGAATTTCCCTATAGGGAAGTAGCTATTACCGTAGGTCTCATGGTAAGACTTAGGCCCGGGACCGATTTACTTTTTCATTTTAATGTCCCCAGAGGCCAAAAACACCATTCGTTCAAATTTTTATATATGTATATATATATATATATATATATATATATATATATATATATAGGTATATATATATATATATATATATATATATATAGATTTATATTATTATTTTCTTGCATTTTTAGGGCTACTAATATAATAAAATTAAAACATATATAACAAAGTACCCTTTTAGTAATTATTACTTTTAGTCATGAAAAATAAAATAAAATAATTACTAAAAGGGTACTTTGTTATATATGTTTTAATTTTATAGATTTATATATATATATATGTGTCCGTGAACACGATAACTTGAGTAATTTTTATCCGATTTTGATGAAATTTGGTTTGAAGGTGTAAGGCGGGATAAACTTGAATGAGTTCGCGATCCAGCATGATCGGACCATGGGAACAGGGTTTTATGGGGGGTTTTATGGGGTAAAAATTGGTTTTTCTCACTTTTTACCCTCAAAACACAAAATTTCCCAATTTTTCTCTAAACCTTCTTAAAGAGCTTAAAAAGACAAACAATTCAGTATATCAAAGTGTTTTTGTACGGTTATTGGTTACGGAGAAAACTAAAAAAATGGGAAATTTAAAATTCCCATGTTATTCTTATGGAGAATATTGTAAAATGTTGTAGTTTGCTTGTTTATGGATATATTTTGATCAAACTTGGCAAATTTATTTATTTTATAGTAAGCTATCAATATTTTACTATAAACACACTACTTTATTAGTTTCCTTGTAGCAGCAAACCTAGGTACTCGTTAAACCTAATAATGTTATTTAAATAGATCAATTGAAAATCAATTCGGCCAAATGGAAATTCGCTTAGACGGCAGGTTTGCTGCGGCGGGGGTATTTAATTGAGCTTTCGTAATTATTCTTGCATCCAAGCACATCACATCTATCTGGCATGCTGTAGTAACAAGTTCAATGTCATTACTAATTATTAAGGGTAGGAGAAACGCGATTATGTACGTAGAGTACGCGACTCCTCCATTCACTGTAATGGTAAGACGGCCGCGCACCAAGACACGGATGCAACGTTGCCACTTTTCGCTCGCCGCGGCCTTGTATTAGAGGTGGCTGTGGTATTATTGATAATAACCTCTTTATATTATAATATAGAATTTGGATTTTTACTGCCATTTAATAACTTATACTTGCAAGACGCTATCTGTACATGTTTTACCAAAGGTAAATATGAATACAAGGCAGACTCTATAAGCTAACTTTTAAACTTTTGTTTTAAAAGGCCTGTCAGCTGCAGGTGTTTGTTAATGAAGGAAACAACTTTTTTGCACATATACTTTGACTGTTGTGGAAGTGCAGGAAAACCTCACTAACTCGACTAGTAATGGTCGAATCCAGGAATTTTGATTCTCGAGTCCCAAAAATAATTACAAATGGGCTTATGGTGATTAAAAAAGCAAGAATGGAATAGGAACTGTTTAAAAATAATACAGTACTACACTAACCATAAATGATTACTCTTTGCAATGAAAAGTTGCATAATTACTTTTGACATACGGCAAAAATAAAAGACGACTAATCGGTTACATCTTTTAACCTATTAACCTAAATCGACAATTATTAGTACCATATTTGGAATAATCCGTGATCCTTAACCAAATTTTCAGCTCTTCAATGGTGATTTTGTTGATAGAGGATCATTCTCGGTTGAATGCATCTTTGTCCTCTTTGGATTCAAACTGCTCTACCCGGACTCATTTTATATGGCTAGAGGTAAAGACTGTATTGCCATACATGAAACTATATTTAACTGAGCACAGAGATATTATTACTAGGTACCAAGGATATTAAGTTATTCAAAAACTGTAATCTGCTACTAAAATTTAAAAAATTGTTTACTTACTTTATTATTACATTATTATTTATAGTACTAGCTGTGTGTTCTAATGATGGGGATCTTGTAGTTAGTTGAAACTTTCTCAGAACAGCAGTTGTTGCATATTGAGTGTGCATTTTTCCAGATATGCAGGCAAAACTATTATAGGAATACACATAAACCTTCGCAAATACAATACCTACCTGACAGTTTCAAGCCAAAACAAATGCTTAGCAATTAAATGTCACCTGGATATAAATCTTGTTAGTCTATATTTTACATTGATTGATTAAACTAAAAAAAACAGCTGTATAGATCAGGGCCGTCGCGTGGTTTTTGGCGCCCGGGGCGGGATGTTGCCAGGCCCCCCCCCCAACACCCGATGAGTGATTATGTCACTATCTTTGTTTTAATCTCCAAAAACAGACACCTAAAGGAATTGAATCACCTTAAAAAAATACTAGAGTCAGGAATCAGGGATTGATTATTATGGATAAATTACTTAAATTTTGTATGAAAATCTTTTTTAATTGATGATAACCAAATCCCAATTAATGTAGCTGAAAATGTTAAAATGTATAAAAAGTACTATATTGTATATGTTATTAATTAATACAGAGCAAATTGAAATTGATGCAATGTATGCAAAACCTCAAACCAAACCTACTCTGAATAGAATTTTTATACAGAATAAAAGAAAACCACATTATCACATTTAGATATGAGTTCCTAAACATTAAATGTAAATAACTCTTAAGGGCGCGCTTTACCCCTGACGCGCAACCGAATGCAAGGGTTTGCAAGATTTCTGTTTTCACCTGCTACATTGAAGGTAGAATCAAAGTTAAGGTCTCATATTAAAGAGGATGAAATTTTCTATAGTTCTTTGTTTCTATATTTCAATTATTTTAAATACGCACCTTATAAACTTGAGTTGTAGTATAAGAAAAAAGGGTCTTTTCAACTAGCCTTAACTTATAAAAAAAAGTTTTTTGAACATTTGAAAAACGCAGAACTATAGATTGTTCTTTGTACTACTATAAGCCGTTTAGAGTGCGTAGCTATCATTATTTGTTAATTCTAAAACAGTAATCTTGGAAACGTCTGCAAGCGCTGTCCAATGGTGAAACATAGCTACTGAAGCCCGAGCTGAGGTAAAGCGCACCCTTAATCACTCATCAAATTAAGCTGGCAGCTCAGCTGAGACTGCCGTAGGAGAGGTGTCGTCCCATTTGCGAACAGTCCCGTTTGCAAACAAATTTTTGGCTGTGGGGTGAGGTACCTGGGAAGGAGTCCCGTTTGCGAACAAGTTTCGTTCTACCATTAGTCAGGTAGTCTCCCGCACGTTAATTGTTGTCTTTTTGCTTGTAGAATACAAAGCTAATATTTAAAGACATTATCAGAATATCTGCTTTTTAGGCCTACTTTTGAATATTGATTGTATAAATATTGGTTATTTCATCGGCAGTAAACAAGTACAATGAATCAATACGAGCAGGGACTATTCTTTTGATTAGATTCATTAACTGTCTGTAACGAATATAAATAAAAAAATCCAAAACCCCGTTTTCCCTCAATTCATATTTCCATAGTACGAAATTGTTGATTTAAGAGCTCGATAAAAAATGTAGGATTTCACAAAAGTTATTAACCAAATTTGACTGAAATAGATTTGTTAATGTTAATGTTATCAAAAGTATACAGACTTGCGAACAAACACCTTTTTGATCTACGCTACATTTTGTAGAGCACATGTTTAACATTTTAAAATATTTATGTTTTTCAGCTGTTTGACTCAAACAGCAATCAATCTATACCATTATATAAAAATCTAGTGGTGTCTGTCTGTATGTTTGTTACTAATAGGCGCATAAACTACTGAACTGACTGGGCTTAAACTATACAAAAATATGGCTACCATACCAAGGACCTTTATAGGACTAGGCTATTCACACTTTGATACTGACCGTGGGCTTTGCCCCTTTGGCTTTAAAAGTTTTGAGGTGAGGATTTTAAAAGTAAATATTGATTGGTCTCCATGGCTGCCATGAGAACACATACAACGTTTGCAATTTGCTATGCCACCCAAATGTAAACAAGCTGAACTGTCAAACCACATTAATTCACAATTCCACAGCTGGTTTATAAATAGGCATATAATATTCTCTACAATCATGTGACATGTTTATTTATTCTTATATTTGATGGTTCATTGATAATTGATTTTATTAAATAAGTGAGATTGTATATCTGTTGTTGTATCTAACCCTAATTAATTATTAAAAATTTCGCTAATGTGAATAATTGTATTGAAAGATTTTGGTGTAAAAAATAGTGAAATTATAAAGTTCACATTTACTTGAATCATTTTAAAATTTTTGAACAATTAACATGTGTTTAGAGTAGGGTACACACCTTAAAAATTGAAACTTTTTCTCAAGGAGATAATTAATTGTATATTTTTGCCATTTTGAGAGAAATATTGTTTACACCATTTGCCTTTTCACAAATTTTTAAATCATCATTTCATATTACTACCCATGGATTAGTTATGATGTTTTCTAATCCAGAGGTAGCTACTACCTATCTATATTATAACTTTTGGCACTTTCTGTAGATTTCACATTCTATTCAATGAATAACTTTTTATGAGCATTTCATGGTCATGATATGTATATTTTCAACCAAGTTCCTCTTAACTTAACCTACCCTCGACATAAACATTGTTTGAATGACGTTAAATTTCCTAATTCTAAGCTGATATACAAATATTTCAATTTAAAAACAACAACAATAAAAAACCAAGTTATTATGTGTTATGTCTTCTCTAAGACTGTTGTTAATAATTCATTTATACCTTCTTTTACTATCATATGTTTTTCTATTGTTTTTTGTTTTGTAAACATTCATGAATTAGATTTTGTGTTGAGTTAATATGCGTGCATTTATTAATTATTTTGTAATTAATAAGAGTCATTTTAATTGGCGACGAGTGTGAAAATCAACTAGCCACTGAAAAATTCAACACATTTACTTTTCAAAATTACATTCAATTTCTAGTTTCAAGATACATTAATATTTTATACAGTTCAAACTATAATGGATGCACAACAGTTTACCTTACTTCTAAACACATTCAATGAACAACAATATACCCCCGCCGCAGCAAACCTGCAGACTAAGCGAATTTCCATTTGACTGATTTGATTTTTACACTGAAATGTCTACTTAAAAATATAACATTTATTCCCGATTTAAATAGAATTAGTTGAACAAGTACTTAGGTTTGCTGCATCAGGGAGGGTAAAACTTTGTTTTTTTTGTAAAATGTTAATAGTTAGTAAGAAATAAAAACATTTTCCAAAATTGATCAAAATATGTTCATAAACAAGCAAACTACAACAGTTTACTTATTCTCCATAAGAATAACATGGGAATTTTAAATTTACAATTTTTTGGAATTTTCTCCGTAACCATTAGGCGCATAATAACGCTTCAATATACTAAATTATTTGTTTTTTTAAGCTCTACAAAATGGTTTGGAAAGAAATTGCTAAATTTTATGTTTTTGGGTCAAAAATGGGAAAAACCTATTTTTACCCCATAAAACCCCCCGTAAACCCCCGTTCCCATGGTCCGATCATGCTGAATCGCGAACTCGTTCGAATAAACGTAGGTTTACACGTTTTTACCAAATTTCATCAAAATCGGATCATTTTTGCTCGAGTTATCGTGCTAACGGACACATATATATATAAATATATATATATATAAATATATATATATATATATATGAATTTGAACGGATGGTGTTTTTGGCCTCTAGGGACCTCAAAACGAAAAACAAAATCGGTCCCGCGTCCAGGTCTTACCATGAGTACTACGGTAATAGCTTATTCCCTATATGGGAAATTCGCTAAAAAGCACTTGTACGTGAGATGTCAAACATGTTTCAAGCTCAAATTCAAACAATTGTTACATCAATTGGAAAACCTAGAGAAGAAAGCTGTCAATCTACAATGTCAAATGTTGCTACATTCGAAAACTTCAATGCCAAACAAGAAAAGTTTACCAGCTATTTAGAACGTTTCGAAAACTATTATACAATGAAAGGTTTGACTGATAAGAAGAAAATTGCTCAGCTCTTGTGTAATTCTATAGGTAGTGAACATTATAACAACCTATCTGCATTTTTGGGCCCAGACAAGCCACTCAAATCATTAGATTATGAAACTCTGTTGAATGACTTCAAGAAACTATTGATTCCAAAGAAAAGTGTTGTTGTTGCTCAACATTATTTCTTAAATATCTTTCAAAAAGAAAACCAGTCAATTTCAGAGTTTGTGGCTGACCTCAGACGTGATCTTTAAGAATGTGAATTTGCAGTTGAATGTTCCAACGATGAATGTGGAACATCTGTGTCAATTGCTGATGTTTTCTTGCGGGCACAGTTCATACGAGGATTGAAGGACAATTGGCTTAGGGAACACCTTTTACAATCCGTTTACACAAAGTTTGATGACATTCTAGAGAAAGCTATTGCCCTTGAAGCATCAAAGGTTGAAAGCAAGGAATTTCACCAACATGCATGTTCTAACAACTTTAATATGGATTCGGCTGGAGTGCACAAAATTACAAGGTCTTCCAGACGATCCCACCAGTTCTCTAACAATCGCTCATCCAACAAGACATCTCTCAACTGGAAACAACGTTCAAATGACAAAAGACCTGACTTCAATGCCCTCGGAATAGAAGGCCTCTGTCTTAGATGTGGAAGTAACAAACACATTGCTGCAAATTGTAACAGACACAAGTATAAACTCCAATGTGGGGAGTGTTTAAAACGAGGACATGTCTCTGCGGTCTGCATAACTACACTGATGTCAAGGACTAAGAA